ATATGCTTTTTATAGCAGGTGTGGTTTCTGTGGAACTGACTCCTGTCACCCTTAGCCCACTGGAATTTAAGTCATAAAAGTGAGATCACCCTGAGGACCAACCCTGTTTGGGTCCAGGAGAGCCACAGGAGACACCTCCCTCCTCCCCTACTTGCTCCTCAAAAGGGCTCCTTTGGAACAACAGCCCTGTCCCAAGGAGGGCTGGGGTCCCAAGGCCTCCTGGGACGCAGTAAGGCCGGGCAGCCCAGCAGAAACCGCAGCCAACAGGACCATAGGTCTACCGCATGCAGGGCACGCTCTCAGACTCTCCGCTATAGCAGCAAACACAGAAACAGTCCTGTGCTCCTGGCATGTATACCTACGTGCGGAGAGATGCACAGCAAACGAATAAATAATATCATGTAACAACGATACCCACTACGAGGCCCATAAAACAGGACAGTGGAGCAGGAAGCGAGCAAGGGGCAGCGCTCTCTCTCTCTCTCTCTCTCTCTCTCTCTCTCTCTCTCTCTCTCTCTCTCTCCCTCTCTCTGCTCTCTGACATGCAAAGAATGGGGGGAGAGGGTGGGGGAGAAGGTTCCAGGCTGAGAGGAGAGCAAAGACCCTGCGGTTTGTCAGGTGTGAGGAACAGAAAGAAGTCCGTGACTGGACACAGTGAGGAAGGGCTGCCAGTGGCACTAGGGAGGCCACGTGGGTCAGATAGTGGAGGACATCGCAGGCTACCCAGGAGTTTGGACTTCACCAAGGTTCCATAAGAAGTCACCAGAGGGCATCCACAGAGAAGCAACAGTCTGCATTCATTTTTTAAAAACACCTGAACTGGGCTGGCTGAGTGGTGCGTTACTTAGGAGTTGGCTTGGGACACCAGCTCTGAGCAGCAAGGCCCCGGTTCAGATCCCACATGAGGGCCAGTGACACTGCCCTCCACAGCTAAGATGCTGAACAACAGCTTGACCTGGAGCTGGGCTGCCGTGAGTTGCTGGCGACGGCGTAGGCTGCCATGGGCCTGGCCGGCAGCTGGGGCGCGCTTTTGTGGGCTGCGGTGAGCTGCTGTGAGCGGCCATCCAGTGGCCGGTGAGCAACTACCTCAGCCGGGAAGAGCGTAATGATCATAATACCAACATGGGCCAGTGAAGCGACGTCCTCCACAACTAGACTGAAGAACAAAAGGACAGCAACTTGTCTGTTCCCCTTCCCCGATTCCCCAATGCTGTTCCCCTCCCCCAATTCTCAAATAAAATCTTTAAAAAAAAAAGACACCTGAACTGCTCTGTAGCCATTCTACATAATCCCATTTCATTTATCAAACACTGTGGGGTAGTCCCCTTTTATTCTGATTTACAGAAGAGGAAACTGAGGCACAGAAAAATAAACTAAAGGTCCCAAGATCAGACAGCTAGAAAGTGGTAGAGCCAGGAATAGAGAATTCAAGCAGTCCGCACTGCTCAGAACCCCTACGCTCTATGCCACCCAGGGATCTGGGGTGAGCTGTCTGAGTTGCTCTGGACTCTGTGGTTATAGGCTAGGTGACCCTAACAAGGTCCTACGTCTCTTGGAGCCTCCGATTCCGCATCTGTGAAATGCAGGTGGCAAGAGCAAATTATGGGAGGTTGTATGAGCCTCAAAACGTATCCTGGAATTAACAGCCTGCAGCCTTAGTACAGGCTGTGCCCACAGCCAGCACTTGGCCCCTGGGAGCTGAAGGTGACTCCCGGCCTAGGCCTCCCCCAGTGTATCACAACCCCTCACCCCTCAAACTCTGCCCATCACAGCAAAAGGGGGGGGGTCCGAAACCACAGCTCCCATTCTGCCTCTTACCAAAACTGTACTCACCTCTTCTCTCCTCCTGCCCACTGGGTCCACTGGCACGTGCCACGTGGGACACACACAGCTGCCAGGGGGTAGGGGGCACTGTCAGCCAGACTCTGCTCTACACTAAACGTGGATCCCAAGGACTGGCCAGACTCAAGGAGCACGTGGGGGTGGGGAGGAGCACAGTGCCGGGGAGAGGGAGAGGCCACACTGGAGAAGCTGTTTTCTCTCTTTCTGGGCTCAGCATCTCCTAGAGATGGTGCCCAAGCCCCTGATCAGTTCCACCTGGCAGACATCTCAACAGGACTCGGCCACAGATCCTCAGGTGGGGCAGAGAGATGTCCCCTCTGCTGAGCAGCAACCCCTCTCCACAGCTTCTGGGGGCTGCTGGGTCCCCTCTGGCACAGCATTCTCTTCCACTCTCCTGCAGAGCAGGGCACTGCCCACTGGGCTCCAGAAGCAGTACCCTCTTTGCTTGAGCAATGCATTATTTCCAGAGTGATGTTCCTTCTGCTAATTATGTCCCCTCTCCAGAGCAGGTACTGTCCAGAGCAGGTCCCCAAGCAGGGACAGTGTAGAGCAATGTTCAGACCAGGAATCCCTACAGAGGTGGCTAAAATTCCAGGCCTAGTCCTTGAATGATGGCTATGTTTTGGAGCATCTGGAAGCAACAAGGATTCAGACAGACACAGAACCCTCTCTCCCCTGATCCCTAGAGCCAATAGGGACCCTCACTTCTGCAGACATAAATCTCCCTCCTTCCGTCACCAGACCATCTCGACAGCACTGTGATGCAAACTGGCCTGAAACGGTGGTTCTGAAATAAGGAGATTTCAGGGCATCAGCAGGGGAAGGGTCCACTCCTGAATTCCTATTAGGAGCCTAATAGGGTTAGACGTGCTGAGGGTGGGAAAAGGCAAAAGGGAAATGCTGTCCTGTCGGTGTGGGAGGGAGGGGGTGGCAGAGCACCGTAACAGTTTCTAGAACTGAAAACGTGAAAAAGGAAACCAAGACCTCCATTTCCTGCACCAGCCTGTCCCCTGGGAACAGAGAAGCCAGTACGAGAAGCCCTTTTGAGCTTGTTTCACATCAGTAAGGCTTTTCAATGAACCAATTGTATCTAGGACTTGCCTCCACGTAAAGGTTAAGGATGAGGGAAAGGGAGGGGTGGCTAGCATTCTAGGTGCTGCTGAGGAAGGTGCAGACGCTCGAGGCTGTGCAATGGTCCCTCTGGCCCACAGCCCAGGGCAGAGCAGGTGGGGATGCTGGCTGGAGGGCTGGCTGATGCTCAGGCTATCAGAGATGACCCAGGGCCACCTCTGTCCCTGGGTTCACCTAGCCCCTCCGTGGCAATGAGGAGGCAAATCTGTGAGCCCACAGCTCCATCCATATCCCAGAGCCAGGAGGCACCAGGAAGACATTGAGCCCCTTCTGGGCCAACCCTGCTCTGGCCCACACAGGCCGTCCTGTGTCAAAAGCCTACAAATGCATCTCTGTGCACAAACACACTGATTCCTGCTCAAACACAGGTGCACACCCTAAAACAAATGCGCAGAAACTTGGTGACTTCTGCACACACATGCACAGACACACATGCACTCCTCACCCCTCCTCCTTCGCTGCCCTGACCCCAACCCCAACATACAGCTTCTGGGGGCTGCTGGGTCTCCTCTGCCAGGGCGCTGCTCTCTTCCCCCATCCCGCAGCGCACGGCACTGTCCACCAGGCTCCTTCGCCAGTAAGCTTCAGCTCCAGCCAGAGTTTGTTTGTCAGGTTGAAGGTCCCTGGGGCTACCAGCCAGGGAGCCTGGAGCTTCCAGAGGAGCTGGGAGTGGCTAAGCCAGCCCTGTGGGGATCTCCTCGCCTCCCAAAGTTGGGTGAACGGAAGCCCCCTGCCTGGCCCAGCCCAGCTCCCAGGAAGAGCCCGCTCCTGTCCTTCAATGGCATTTGAGAAGGTGGGCTATGGAGAAAGGGGGCTATAGGAAAGCAAAGGCAGGAAGACACAGCCTCACAGGGGTGTCCCCAGGGGGCAGGGGAATGTCTTCAGCTGCCTATGGTCAGGCAGGGGGCAGAGGCCGCTGCCCCAGCAGAGGCACCCCCACCCAGCACCCTCACAGTGCTCACTCACCATCCTCCCTGCCTGTTCTGGCACCTGTGCCTGATCTGGGTGATGTGGGTGATCGGGACAGTTCCAAGGTCCACTGCACACCAATCCAGGAAACTCCTAGGCCCTCCCCTAGCAGCCTACCTCAGCCTCACACCTTCTGGGCTCAAGCCCTGAGGCTTTGGCAATATCAGATCATCCAGGAACCCAGACCCAGGAAGGCAGTGGGAGGGTGATGAGATGGGGCCTGGGGACTAAGGAGTCCAGAATCTAGGGCTTGTTCAGCAGGTTTGGGTTCGCCCACACCACCTCTCCAGAGCGCAGCACCCCTGCCAACAGGATCCACTCTAGGCAGACATCCTCGGTCTAACTGAGGACATACCCGGGGTCAAACCGAGTGCCAGAACCACAGGTTTTTTGTTACTCGTGCCCAGGTTCTCCTGGTGAAGATTGACACAGAACCCAGGGCCTCACCAGCAGCCCCTCCTCCCTGCCCTTTAAGGAGCCATCTCAGTTCTCGGGCTGGAAGGATAGGGCCCTGTTCATCCACTGCAGGCTGGGGACAAGCACTACCGTTAGGGCCACATCAAATCCTTTCCAAGGAACCCTGGTGCGAGACAGCGGCTCAGAGTAACAGGCACAGAGAAGATGCAGACCTGGAGAACACCCAGGAGACCAAGCCATCACAGGGGCCCTGGCTCCATTTGAAGGCCCCACAGATCCTCCTGGCCTCTTCCGGGCATCTGTTTTCTCCCACCCAGGAGTGGACAAGATCAGGACCCTGTTACAGGGCACTTGTACCCCCAAGAACACAGCGAAGCCTGGCCAGCTCACCTGGCCTTCCTGGCCTATCCGTCCAGCTGTTCTGGAAAGAGAACATTTTCTTCTCTAATTGGACAGCTGCAGGGATAGTGATGGTGAGAAGAGAATGTCTGATTATTGAGGGACGGGGAGTGCAGGAAACAGGACCAGAGGGCCTCTGAAGCAGGTGGGCTGAGGGTCTGGAACTAAGGGAGGTCCTGGGTGGACGAGCAAGTGAGCTGAGAGGGGCGTTGGGGCCAGTCAGACAGGATGCAGGGAGAGCGTCAACCTGTGGCTCGGCTCGGCAGCACTACAAAGTGGGCACCCCGAGGGGCTTCTAGAGCCAGGGCTGGAGCGAGGGCAGAGGGAACCGACAGCCAGGGACTAGGGCGGAAAACGATTCCCATCTTTATAGAACGTGTTAGGTTACAGGGTGGGGCTAAGGGTGGCCTCTCGGGGCCCATCCCCAAGCCCCAAGTGGCCTCACTCCCAGCCCGGTCCAGCAGCCCCCTTCCTCAGCATGTCCAGGCTGGTAGGTGGGGCTCAAGCAGAAGTCAAGGTGTCAACAGGGCAAAGGTCAGATGACCCGGACATCATGTCCTTCCCACCCCAGGAGACAGGACGTAGAACTGTGGAGTCAAGACAACTACTTTTCTTCCTCCCGCCTTCTTCCAGGTCTTCTTAATGGTCTTTCTCTTTCTCACTGCCCTCCCCTCTCCTCGCAGACCCTGTCCCCTCTCCAGCTACCCCATCCTGGTGTCTCCCTGTCCCCGTCTCCACCTCCTCCCGCCTGCCTCCCCCTGCCCCCTCCCCCGCTCCGGTTATGTAAGGGGCCTGAGAACACACAGAGGGAGCTTTGTTGTCAAACCACATCCATACGGCGCCGGAATCAGCCGGCGCAGCTGTTCCCCATTCCCTCTGCCTTGGCAGGGTTGAGACACCGGGCAGGAAGCCCCCACACGCCTCCATTTTGGGAGGTGGGGTGGAAAACACTGGCCCCAGGGCCCCAAGGCAGCTGAATGGGTGGCCAGGGATCAGTCACCACTGGATGGGACCACAGCAGGGGACCAGCCGGCCCTCAGGAGAGAACAAAGCCACAGTGCAAAGCCAGGGTCACAAAGACTGGAGGAGAGCTCTGGGCTAGGAGCAGGGCTGCACAGCAACAGGCCTGGAGCAGGGCCCGGACCCTCACAGTCACCATGTTCTTTCCCATGCGTGGATGCAGGCCCGTGTTCTCGCTCACACACGACCCATGTGCACACTCACAGCGTACATGCACCCACACAGACACGTATCAGCCCAAGCTCGACGCGCTGTGTCTGCTCACCTGGAAGGCGTCTGAGCAGAAACCTCCTCCCTGCTCTGGCCAGCCTCCTCCATCCCAGCAGGCACGTCTGGGAAAGGGCTGGAGTTCTGGAGACAGGAGGGCAGAGGTCAGAGGCCAGCACAGCCCCACTGGCCAGCTAGTTTTTGAAGGCCCTCAGACTCCAGGACAAGCTCCCACCTTCCTGCTCAGGAAGATGTCCAAGGTGGTGGGTGAGGGCCCTGGGTGCTGAACTGCAGATCAAAGTGTTCCATCCTTAGGGGACAGGCAGTGCCTCTTCACCAAACTCAACTGCTGCAAGAGCCATTTTGCTTGAAAATCCGGGAGCTGCCCACAACAGGAGGTGCCCTGAACCTCACGGCCCTGCAGGGCGCCCACCCCACCCACCCCCCCAAATCCAGCTGCCACTGTCAGGACAACTGGGATGCTGAGGGCTGGGAGGGACAAGGGGAAAAAAGGAGGCAGACAGGAAAAACGAGGGATGACTGGATCTAAAGGAGGAAAAGGGAAGGAAGGCAGAAAAGGATTGGAAAAAGAAAAAAGGACCAAAGAGTGGTCAAGAGAGGAGGGGGGGAAGTAAGTGTGGAGAGAAGAGCCTACACAGCCTGTGGGAACAGGCCCCACTTTATGAACACAGCCTCCTACCGGCCCTGGCCTCACCCTCTCAGCCCCACAAAGCCAGCCGAGGGGCAGCAGGATAGCACCGTGCATTTCCAGGGCACCCGTCCCATGTCAGCCATGCCCCACGGGCTTCAGACTCAACAATCCTGGGTCTTTGGGGCCTGGAGAACCGACAGGTGAGTTACACCAGGACCTCAGAGACAGGAATGAGATGGGGACAGAGGGTGGGATGCAGGGGCAGAGAGACCAGGGTGACTCCTGGTGGGAGAAACATTCTGTGACCTTGAACAGCAAGTTCTTTTCTGAGTCTAGGCTCCCTCATTTGCAAAAAGAAATAGTTACTGAGTAGCTATTGGGTGCCAGCATGGTGACAGGTGCTGGGGATACAGTTGCGGGTCCTACCCTAGGTCTGAGACCTCTTGGAGCTTGCGAATGTTTATCTCATTTGTGCATCACAATCTCGTGAGATGGGGCAGAGGCTAATAGCCCAATTAACAGATGTGCTGGGGCCGGCCGAGTGGCTCAGTTGGTTAAGAGCTCGCTCAAGAGTGCAAGCTCTGAATAACAGCGGTTCGATTCCCAGCCCGAGCTGAGCTGCTACTGAGCTACCAACAGGTGGCAGGATGGCTCAGCTAAAAAATAAATAAATAAAACAGATGTGCTAAGGTCACATCTGGGAATAGATGGAGATGACACAAGGGATGTCCTCAGGAGTGGCTCCTATGTGGCCAGGGGGTAGACACTCTCCATTCTCTGCTTACCCCCCAATCACATAAAATACACCAGCCAGCATTTGTAGGGCACTGAGTGTTATCTAAATGTACCTCCCTTGTTCAGAAGTGTTAAGGCACCAGGAAGAGGAAACACGCTGTCTACAGGAAGACAACTCATGGCCCCTGCCAGCCACCACCCACAGCACTGCCCCACCCCACACTTGTTTGTGGTTGGTGGTTGGGCTACCACCCTTCTGCAGTGCATCTGGGCTCAGCCAGGACACAGGGGCCCCTGTCACAGGAGTGGGACCTGAGGGAAGTGGAAGGTGCAGGAGGAAGGGACAGTGTGCTGGGTCATCAGGGAAGCTTCAGAGAACAGAGGCTGGAGTTGGACACTGGGGGACAGTGGGAGCAGAGGCAGGGCAGTGAGAACACATGCGGTATGCTACTGGGAAAATAAGAACAGTCTCACTGGAACCGGATGGGGGCTTTCAAATACAAATTTTTAAAGGCAAGAAACCCTCTGTCCTACTTTCAAATGAAATTTTATGTGGAAACCCAATATATCGAAGGACTAGAAGTGGAGTTGTTTGGGTCGAAGCAAGAATAGGGGTGAACAGGGCCGGCCGAGTGGCTCAGTTGGTTAAGAGCTCGCTCAAGAGTGCGAGCTCTGAGCAACAGGGTCACCGGTTCGATTCATAGCCCGAGCTGAGCTGCAGCTGAGCTGCCAACAGGTGGCAGGATGGCTCAGCTTAAAAAAAAAAAAATAGGGGTGAACCCCTCCTCCCCAGCCCTCATTCCTAAGAGAGGGTTCCACCCCCAGGGTGCCTTTCTTGGCCCCAGTAAGATGTGGGGACATGTGAGGTTAGGACCGGTTTATGCAAGGCTGGACTGAAAAGTCAGGGTGGCAGGAGCAGGAGTGTGACCAGCTGGCCTCTGGGTAGGGTGGAGGACATGCCCTCGTGGGGGCCGACTCCAGCCCATCCCCACCTGGGGCTCCTGTCTGCCTCCCCTGTGTCTGAAGGGGGCGGGGCAGGCCCTTCTCTGACAAACAGCTCACCTGTCCAAGAGGGAAGCTCTTGTCTCTTTGCCCCAGGGAAAGGGGGAGCAAAGCAGGAATAGAGTGAAGACAAAGTCAGAAACCTGAGCTCCATCTTGCATTCATTCATTAAACAAATATTTATTGAGCACTGACTACTGGCTAGACACCATTCCAGGCATGAGAAATATAGCAGTGAACACCACAGACAGGTTTCTGAAGCTCACACTAAAACCCTTGCATCTCAGCGAGGAAAACACCTTAAAAGTTTCCAAGGCCGTTCCACCCACTCACGTGCCCCTCAGTGCCTGCATCGCCTTTCAACCGTTCGTCGCTGTTAAAGTCATGGGACTACACATGAACATCTTCAGTGACAGGGTGCTAGCCCCTCCTCAGGCAGAAGTAGGCTCCTGAAATCGCCAGACAGGCTCACCTAGGGTCCTGCTGCTGCTGTTCCTCCCCAGCCGGCCGAGGCAACAGAGCATTAAATGTACTGTTCGAGTGCGCAAGTTTTATTTTCTATCAAGACAAAATATGAAGCTTCCTCTCTAGTTCTGCTGGTTCTGAGTCAACTGGTTGGGACCAAAGGAAACCAGTTGGCTCCATTTTCACCTGTCCAAGCTCCCGGGCCCCTCAGCCTCTGCCACAGAGAATGTCCTGCTTCACGTCCCTCCCATGACCCCGGAGCAGCCGGTCCCCAGCACACCCCTCTGGCCCCATTTCTCTCCTGCTGTCCCTTCCAGCCAGGCCACCTTCCTCCTGATCTGCGCAACCTTTCAGGGCAGAAGGGAAGCTCACCACTGAACTGAGAAATGCGTGGGTTTTGAAGGAGCCTCTCCAGCCTTGAGAGGGGTGGCAAGGAGCAAAAAAGGTCTTCCCGCCTGGCAAGCATCTGGGGCTGCCAGGCACCAGGAGAGTCCATCACAGCAGGTTCCTGTGCTCAGACCCCACAGGGCCCCTCCCCTTCCCCAAGGGTCACCCCTGGTTGCCGGATGAGGCCTTGCGGGCTGCCTCCTTTCCAAAGGCATAGGAGCCCGGGCGGCCACATGGAAGCAATTACCATCAGGAAAGTGGAGAGGTGGGGACTGGGAGGGGCCAGCAGCGGCCTGCAAGGGGGTGGGGGTGGGGGACCCTACTCTGCCCAGCTGAGAGGGCTGGACTCAGGGGATGGGCAGGCCAGGATGTGGGGTTCAGGGCAGCACACGGAGGTCCAGGCTGGCAATCGAGAGGGTTTGTGGTCCCCTTTGTCACCAAGACACTGTGGCCTTGAGCAAACCCCTTCACACCTCTCAGCCTCCTCGTGGATCACAGGAAAGGTGAGATGAGCTCAGGGAGCAGTGGAGAACTACTGAAAAGTGCAGGGTTTGGAAACAAGCCTGGAAATGAGTCCCAGCTCAGCTGCTTATGAGCTGTGTGACCTTGGCCACGTACTTGAATCTTCCTGAGCCTCCGTTTCTTCATTTACGCACGGGCTTCATGCGAAGGGCTGTACGAGGCTTACCCCAAGTGATGCAAGTAGGTGTTGAGCACACTTTTTTTTTTTTAAGTTTATTGGGCCAGTGCTTGATTGATAAACGGCAACTACTCTTGTCATTTGCTAAGTCCCTTTTTATTATAAGGACAGGTGTTGTCAGAGGCTGCAGGGGCAGAGGACACAAGGCAGGCAGACCGTGGGCACAAGGCACCCACGCTGCAGCCCTTGGGACCCGCGCCCCGGAAGGGGGTTTGGACCCAAGGCAGAAACAACAGTGTGCTGGCCAAGCACGCTGCAAATCGGTCCCAATCCTCTTTCTAGCCATCACCATCCTCGCGACCCTTCCGACCCTCATGAAAGCAGATCCCGGAGACTCTGGCCCACAGGGGCTTTGGAGTAAAGCTGCAGGCAGGAGAAGGGACTATGACAACTACAGTCCATTCTGGGCCTCTGCAGCCAGGACTCCCTCACACTCAAGGCCCCAGTGGACACTGAGGACCTCACCAGTCTGCACCTCCTCAGCCCAGCGGCAGTGCCCTCCTCCCTACGGGGCCAGGAGCAGAACCAAGTCTTCAAAATTGAGAGCACCAGCTTTCTGCAGGGCAACTCTGAGGGGACGGGGTGGGCAGAGACAGGGCAGTGACCTGGCTGTAGGTCTCCTGGTCCCAGGCAGGGGTCCCAGACTAAAAGGGAACCTGCAGCTCTGGACACTGATGTCCCTCCTCAACCTGAAAGGCAACCAACCCCATGTAACCCCTCGGCAGAGCTCAACCCCTCCTGGGCTCACGGAAACCAACCTGAAGCCCCAGAGCACTTGGCTGAGGCCCAGGCATCACACACTGCTGCTTTCAGTTGTAGCTACCATTTCCTCTATCTACAGGATAGAGCGACAGACACACACAAACACACACACACACACCACCCACCCACCCACACACACACACACACCCCACACACACACACAATGTGGTAGGGGTCAGGAGTGATTCTGAGGCCAGAGGCGCCCAGCAGCCCAACTGGGGAGCACACAGAACACTCCTGCAGAAGCACTGAGCACCTCTGGTAAGGGGGGTGACAGAAGAGAGAGGGGAACTAATGACTACAGCCACCAAAACCTGCCTACGCTAGTCAGTTCCTCAAGGCTACTGAAAATGCTTCAGGTGTGGGCCCTGAAAGCCAGCTAGCACCACAGGGAAAGGTCTAACCACAGGGCCACTGAGCAGTCAGCGGGGAGGGAGCAGGTTCCGTTTTTTTCTGGGGGCCCCACCCTTTGCCCCCTGACACCTCTGCTCTCCAGCACCCTGCATCCATCTCTGAGGGTCTAGGAGTTCGGCTGGGCTCTGGTGGCAGCCTGGGTGACAATCTATAGACCAGGCCCTCAGATTCTGGGACACTGATCTGAAAGGTTCCTTTCGGGAGGCTGGAGCTAGAACTGCTTTTTGTGTTGTTCTGAGGTAGAGTGACCCTTCCCCTGGACGGAGGTTGCACACCTTCAGCCACTCTGAGAGGTGGAATGCACAGCTCCCCTGGGGCAGCGTCTGGGAGGAGAGACCCGAGTCTGTGCCCCGACAGGGGCTGGGTAGGCACCCAGTGCAGGGTCAATGCCAGGCCTGTGTGGGTTAACTTTGGAACAAACACAGGTTAAGCTGGAGCACAGCAAGGGGGTCTGGCCTCTCTGCTCCAGCTGGCGAAGTGCAGGGCTCATTTCTAGAATCTGTTAC